AGCAAATCTATATGCTCGCTTAAAGTTGCGGAAACCATACCAAACCAAACGGGGAGGAAATGACGGAAAGAGATGATGATGCAAACGCTTGTTGGGAACAAAGGAGAAACGGAACGGAACTAAATTAAACCAAACAAACAAACAGATGAGGGACATGGACTCGTACGCTGCTTGGGCCGTCGTCGTTGCATGTTCATATATGTATGTACGTGTGTTTTTTTCTTTCTTTCTCTTTCAGCTATGCGTCGCGTACATGTGGAGATGATCGTGCATTTGCGATGTCGTGGTATCGCGGTAGGATTGTGGTTGTTGAGGCATGACGTGTTGTTGAAGATGAGGGTGATGTTGTGGAATGTGTTGATGAGACTGCTGCTGCTGTTGTTGTTGTTGTTGTTGTTGTTGTTGTTGTTGTTGTTGTTGTTGTTGTTGATGAGGGTGACGCATGCTACCGTTCATTCCAGGGACGGAAAAGTCGGGGTTAATTTCCGATCCGCCTTGACTCATACTTGACTGTGGCCTGGAATGAGCAGAACTGCCTCTTGAACTGCTTATTCGATTCCCGATTTTGGAAAGTGGTTTTGATATCATCTGGCCAAATGACGGCCGGTCGTAGTATGGCGATTCTTCGAACTGAGGCGGGGCGCCAAAGTAATTTGGATATAGTGATTCGAGGGGATTTGGCGGAGGCTTGATCTGCTCCATGTATTCACTGTGGTACATGTGCTGTTGTTGGTCGTGATCCATGATTGGCGTGTGGGGGTGTGATGCGTGCATGGGGGCTGTGGTCATGACGGGTGGTAGATCTGGAATAGCTGGTTGCGCTACATCCAGAAAGTCACCAGGGTCCACATCCATGTAGCTAATGCGATGGCTTGTTGTATCAACGGCGGGTGTCTGGGGCTCCACAAATGGCGAGGATCCGCAATCGTAATCAGGTACATGCGATAAAGAACTGCTGACCTGCAGCAAAGCTGCATTGACAGCTGCAAGCCGCGCACGTGAGAGGTGTGGGTTGGAGTTGCCGATGAGAATGTGCATTCGCTGCTCGCGCGAGAGCTTCTCCACGTGCGGAACGGAGTCCCTTGAAGGTGTGACGAAACCAGGGGGTAGCTGCTGGTGCATAGGGTCTAACGGTATATCGGCGCGTAGGCTCAAGGCAGTGATCAGGACTTCTTCCCGACTCGGTCGAAGGTCACAGCATTGGAGCTTTTGTCGGAGGATCCTCGAGTTGTCAGGACACCAACTAATTTGCGACCGGCTTTCTCGCAGCCGTTCATCTAAGCAACCTATCAGCTCCTTCCAAGTATCGTGAAGAGCCTCCTGTCGTATTAAATTCCGGATCACATTAGAGTACTTCCACTGATCCATAGTCGCGCCATTCTTCATGTGTTTTGCTACGTGGTCACATCTCTCATCCCATCCAATGCTAACTTCTTTGCATTTGTCGAAACCACAGCCGAAAACTCTCCTTGGAAGTAGTGTAATGCCAATGTCGGTCAACGATGGTAATGGCCGACCAGCATGATAGCGCTGGTGGTGTTTGATAAAATCTTTTTGACGGTCAAAGATGCGATTGCATCCGTGGACAATGCAAGGCCAGTCTTCCCCAGTTTCATGCATTCTCATTTCGTGTTTCTTCCAGTCGGATTTCGCTTTGAACGTCTTTTGCGCTTCTGTGCGGAGAGGAAATACAAAACAAGTAAGGTCGCTGGGGTGGTCTGGGG